GAGGCACCTTACTGCTGGAAGTTACTGCATGCAATTTAGTCCTAAAATCCATGCCACCAGGACATTTGTGCTCTTTTTTTATTTTTATTTTTTTTCCTACAAGGCTTAACATCTTGTCATGACCCTAGGCCAGAAGGAGAGAACCCCGTCCTTTCTCCCTAGCTGATTTCCCCACTTTCTCCCAACCTGTCAAGTTTCTGTTCATTCCTTATTCAGAAAATTGTAGATATTTTAATTTTATCCTGTTCCAGCCCCACCGTCCCTAATGTCTGTAGAGAAAAATATGCATTAAGCTATGATTCTAAAACAAAGAAAGCTTTTTCCTAGAGAGGAACTGACCTGATATCCCTTATTTTATTTTATTTTCTTGAAATTTTAATTGTTTTCCAATTCTACGTAGATCTATATCTCATCGGCACCCACATTAACAGGGAAAGAAGCCATGTTAGATTTAGTGGGAATATTAAGTATAAAAATATAAATGGGTGAAGTTATCTACTCCTGTACTTCTCTAGACCATCTCTGCAGCCTCGACCCCTTTGTGCAAATATTTCCAGCCCTTCTCCATGGGAAGGGAGAAGAACAATCGCGTTTCTCATATGGTGTCTGTAACATCCACGTTTTTGAGGAAATGTTTTAAGTTCTCCTTGGTAGAAACTCATATTCTCTGTCATTTTTTCCAGCTTATTTAGATCATTTTTGGTCTTCTGGTCCTCATGCCTATAACCTATCCCTTAATCATTGAAATATACGTTTCTCTAGTTCCCGAACCTGCTGCGTTCTTTTTACTTATATTTAATAAGATATTTTATATATATGTACATTTATAATATAGTATAATCATACAGAAAAGTATACAAAAGAGATACCCCTGCAATAATTTAATATTAACACATGTTAAATATTCGTCTTATTTTTCTCTGGTCTTTCTTTTTGAAAAGAAATAAAATGTTGAAGATGGCCCTGTTTGCATGCCCCTTCCTATTTTATTCCCTTGTATCCCTCCCAGAAGTAACCAGCATTCTATCTTTATTTCCTGTATATGACTTTATAATTCGACTACATATGTAGGTCGCTACTGCAGTACACAGGACTAGTTTGTGGCTTTAGAGTTATTTTTTCGGACTCTCCACCCCTTGCTGGGTGTCCATCTTTTCTTGCTGACCTTGTTTCTCACACTCCACCCACCCCCACCCATGGATGGGAAGCTGGAGCGAGCTGAGGGTCCCTCCCCTGTTTCCACTTCCTCCTTCCTCCTTCCTCCTTGGCCCTCTACTCCTGAGACACCAAGTTTACTGTTTAGGCACTACGCTGTCTGACTCTACTTCTGTTCCCCTTTTCTTCCTTTATTCTTGGCACCCCAGTATTAAATCACTTTAATTTCTATTTTTGGCCTTGAAGATTAATACAAGATCAGTTTTCCTCTGCCATTATTCGGGCACAGGTAAGATGCTGTTACTGAAAATCTAAGAAAGAAATGTAGTTTAGTTATTTTTTTTTTTTATTTCAGCATATTATGGGGGTAAAGATGTTTAGGTTACGTATGTTGCCCTTGCCCCCGCCCCCCCAAGTCCGAGTTTCAAATATGTCCATCCTTTGGGTGGTGCACATTGCACTCTTTGTGTATGCAAATACCCGTCCCCTCCTCTCCCCTCCCCCCTGCCCAACATCCAATAAATGTTATTCTTATATGTGCATTTATGTGTTGATCAGTTAATACCAGTTTGGTGGTGAGTACATGTGGCGCTTGTCTTTCCATTTTTAGGATACCTCACTTAGTAGAATACGTTCCAGCTCTATCCAGGAGTATACAAGAGGTGCTATATCACCATTGTTTCTTAAAGCTGAATAGTACTCCATGGTATACATATACCACATTTATTAATCCACTCATGTATTGATGGACACTTGGGTTGTTTCCACATCTTTGCAATTGTGAATTGTGCTGCTATAAACATTCGAGAGCAGGTGTCTTTCTTATACAATATCATTTGGTCTTTTGGGTAGATGCCCAGTAATGGGATTGCTGGATCGAATGGTACTTCCACTTGTATCTCTTTAAGATATCTCCATATTGCTTTCCACAGAGGTTGCACTAGTTTACAATCCCACCAACAGTGCATGAGTGTTCCTATCTCTCCGCATCCACGCCAACTAGTTTAGTTATTTTTAAGTATAGACACATGCCTCAGGGAAGAAGGGGCCGAGCTATATGTCTTGGAGGATCTGATACTTTCCAGTTTCAGATATGAATTACTTATAATTTGCATGTTTGTTGTTTAAATGTAGTACTAAAAGCCTTTTCTGTTAGATTAATAGTGCTCTTTTACAAAATTAATTTGCTTAACAAAATTCTATATATCCACCTAGATATTGGTAAACTCTCATTTTCTGGCCTATCTATAACAGAGATTTTTAAATTGTCCATAAGAGAGTTTACTGTAAACTGGCCTTTTCCTTCTTTCGTTGAAAGTATATTCTTTGCCTACCATGTGCAAGACACACTGTGAGTGGAGCTGAATTGGGGCCCTACTCTTTAGGGACATACCATATGATTATGACAAATATTTGGGGCTTACAGGGGTTTATAACCTTAAATTGGAAGACAGATATTTATTCAGATACTACTAGGAAGAACACCCAGGGTGGGAGAGGAAGGGGAGGAGAGGTGGGTAGTGCCAAGCGTGTGTGGCCTCTTTATAAGGAACTGGTTTTTTGGCATTTGATGGACATTCAAAATCCTTGCTTGTATGTTTTTGCAGTGTTGGAGGGAAAGAGCGTTTAGTCCAGCCATTGCAAATCTTGGTTCTATGATTAGGTAACAATTACCTTTCAGATCTCTAATAGATGTCTCCATATCACACATTCCAGTATTCCCTCCTGACCTCCCAAATCCAAATAAAGGAGCTAAGAGTGAGAATGGAGTAGAATTGTCTACAGCCTTTATCAACTGAGGGCAGAGCATATTTTTGGCCTTTCTGAATGCACTCCAGTGGGACCTATCTAATACCATTCCTGGTTTCCTCTCCTAATACATGTTTTGGAATATAGTTTAGGCCCTTAGCCGCCTTCTGCAAGCCCCCATGTCTGTTTTCTCTGCATGGGACCCCGGATTCCTTGCCTGAGGCAACCACTGTCTTCCTCTAATGATTAGAGATTATGAATTAGACAACACATTAATGGCATGCCTACTGCATGCTTACGTGAGAGCCGTCAGCAGGTAGAGCAGGAGGACAGAGAGGACCACATAGCTGGAGCGGAGTTTTGCAGCATGTTTTAAATCTGGTATTTGTCCTGTTTACCATTAAACCTCTTCTCAGCGTACTGTCCTCCCTGGCCATTTAGATGTACAAACAGAATGACATTTTTCTGTTATATCATTCTAGTAAATACTGAGAATTAACATTTTAACCTCTTTTCCCAGTTCTAGAAGAGAGCCCAGAACATTAGGACCTATGTTTGTAGATGGTGAGAAATACCAGCTGTTCAGTGTTTTCCATTTCTAAAGAAATTTACACTTTAACATTTTTTTCTTTGTTTTAACACTTTTACTTTTATTTAGGAAAACAGGCTAGTTGTTGCTCTTAGAAAACCATGAGGGGCCTAATGACCATACTGATGAAATGTCTTTTGAAATAGGCTAAGGGTTTTAGCTTGAAGTAAATCGAAAAAGGTTCTCAAATGAAGCTTTATAGTTGTGTTTTAGTAAATATAAACCATTTTGAAATGTACAGAGGGATATCTGCCACTCTTGAAATTTTCCCAGATGACACTACATGTTTTATGTTTTTGAAGAGATTGAGGCAAAAAGATCAAACCCAGAGGCTTTTTTGCAAAAACGACTAGGGTTCGGGTGAGTTTAGCATTGATTGTCTGTGACACACCGTGATGAATGTGGCATTTGAGATACAAATCTGTTTTCCACGTTGAGAAGAAGTAACACATAAATGCTTGAGAGTCAATGGAGTGTAATAAAAAAAAAAAACAACTTTTTTGGGGAATCAGGAGATAGGAAGGTTTATCCAAGATTTTCCACAAACATCAGTTTAATCATGAGTTTCTGTACCTTTTCTGTTTTATAGTTTCTTCATCTGTCAAACCTGGGGTTTGTTGCTTTTCTTAGTTCCTTTACTTTCTGATGAGATACAGTACTTATTAAGTGTCTAACATGTGCCTGGTACTGTGCCGGCAGGGATTTTACATGTTTTATCTCATTTAATGGGCCATATTTGAGATTTTCAAAAAGCTAAAGATGTTATATTCCATTATTCCTTTCTTCCTTTTTTCTAAAAAAAAAAAAAAAAGCTAAATGCCATTTTGTTCATGAAACAGTAGTGACAGTAGAAAGCTTTTTGACATGTCCCTCCCTGTCAAAGAAAAACTCTTGCATGTCTTTGCTGGCCCTCTCCTTCCCCCAGCCCCCTTTTCTGCGTGTTTGGGGATCCGAAAGCTTCGCAACGCCTGGCTTAAAACGTGCTGTCTCAAACACGCCAGACTGGCACGTGTGTGTGCCCATTTTAAGAGCAAAACTATAAAAATACGAAGAGAAGGAAGATATTTTTTAGACATTTAATAGATATGTAGCAATTATTTAGAATTTAAATTCGACCTAGTGGTCATGCAATTTTATATGTTACAGCTTCATTCTGATTGAATCTCATATTCATTTTTTTTTTTTTAACGTAGTTTTTTTTTTAAGAGGATCTTGCCAGGTTGCCCAGGCTGGCCTCAAACTCCTGGGCTCAAGGGATCCTCCTGCCTCAGCCTCCCAAGTAGCTGAGCCTACAACGCACCACCACTCCCAACTGTCCTTCATTGGGTTTTTCCCTACGAATATTGAATATAGCTTTTGGAAAGAAATGTATTTCAAGGATATGGTTTTTTTTCTGAAAGGTTTTCCTTTTCTACCTTACACTAAACCCTTGTTTAAGAATCTCCTTGATTTGTCATTTGTTGGTCCTCTTCAATGCTAATAATGCTTTGCTTTCCTTTTTCCTTAGTGATACAAATGAAGTTGACATACCCCCCAACACTCGAGTTGGCACCAAACGCTACATGCCACCGGAAGTGTTGGACGAGAGCTTGAATAGAAATCACTTCCAGTCTTACATCATGGCCGACATGTACAGTTTCGGACTCATCCTCTGGGAGGTTGCTAGGAGATGTATATCAGGAGGTAAGAAACAGTGACATCTTGGAAAATCTATCGGAGCTACTATGAATCCTTGCTATTTGATCAAAATCAAAGTTATCGTCTACAAAATCAGGTTTTCTTTTATTTTTTTTCCCCTTTATTTCTGTTGACGCAGTTACAGTCCTCCCAGGAAATGATATTTGACACCGTAGAATAATCTGACTACCTCCTTTCTCCACCTACTACTGATGAATCTCTTCTGGACACACTGCCGAATCCCCCTGCCTTTTCAACAATCACCCTCTTCTGTTCCGTGTGTTATCTCGTTTCACTCTCGGGCTCTTTCTCCAGCATTGCTCCATCAGTTTTCTGCCCCTTCCAGCTGCTTCTCACCTACCTGCTGTGCTCATCCCCAGCTCTGGTGCCCCTCTGTAGAGGTGGCATTCCCCTGTAGAGATGTCTATAGGACGTAAATGTGACTCCCCTATTTCTTTACTTCTATAAAACTTCCTCAAAACATACCTTTTTATCAAAAAGAAGTTAAAACTTCAGCATATCGTTACTGTTCATGATGATTCTTCTAGAAACATAAGGATTCCCTAGTAAGACCAGTTATAATAAATGAGAAGACATCTTTAAACATTCAGAAATATGACTGCATGGACTATTTTGATTGCAGCGTAATCCATCTTCCAGTAAATTCTAATACCTTTTGGGTCAGAAGCCGAGTCTTAGGCTTTTCTGTATCAAGTACCCTGATATCTTACTCTGTGTATGGTTGTGCTAATTAAAAAACCTTGACGCTGCTGTCGTTTCTCATAGTGGCCAGTTCGAACTCATCTTCCTAAAGCACGAGCTTGCCCAAGATTCTGGAAGTGTAGCGTACACTTAACTAGTACGATATTTGTTCTTTGACCTGCTACTTATTATCTGTGACACCTTGGGCAAGTTCCTGAACTTTGTTTCAGTGTTCTCCTCTTAAGAATGAAGCCGATTATTGTATATACCTCAGACAGTTGTGTGGTTTCAATGAACGTAAAGAGAATCAAAATTACCCGACCCATAAATAACACTCAATGCATGTTAACTGTCATTACCAATACTTTTCATTTTGGTTGGTAACGCCATAGCATATTTAGAGTCATATTTAAATATAAAGAAGAAATAGTTAATCACCAAGCGCTCATACTTTGGTAGAAAGATCATGTTCAGTGATACGTGCCTTCTAATCACCGTGGGAATTCTGAGCCTGTTATAGGCAATTGGCAATAGAATACATTCCCTCTGAAGCGAGACAACTCTTTTGTGCAAACGGAAAGGTAACACAGAAAATGTTCTGTAACCAGAGATTGAGTGAATCTCCCGTCATAAGCGTGAAGAAGAAAAGAAGAAACCAAAATGCAAATGAATGGCTTGTGCCTTGATTGCATGCTTCATAAAGAGTAGATTTTTGAATAAATATGCTTTCACTTAATTAAGATACGTTTATAGAAGTTGAAGATGTAATAGAGCATAAGATTACTTTTCTAATTATGTTTTTCTGAACGTTTAAAATAAATAGGGCTACAAGAAGCCCATATTTTGCCAGAACAAATCCCAGTGAATTTAATGCTGTGCCGTTTTCATGAAGATCTGTATTTCTTAACCCTTCTTTCAACAATACATGCTTTTTCTAATAGTAATGTATTCCTTATCTAAAATTTGGATAAATACAGAAAATTTAAAGGAGAAAATAAAAATCAAACAAACAATCCTTGAACCTAAAAAAATTACGGTTAATAATTTGGGGTATAGATAAGCTTCCAGATTTTTAATGTGTGAAAACACATTTTTTTTTTTTTTTTTTTTGAGACAGGGTCTCGCTCTGTCGCCAGGGCAGGAGTGCAGTGGCATCATCATAGCTCACTGCCACCATAAACTCCTGGGCTCAAGCGATCCTTATGCCTCCACCCTCCAAGTAGCTGGGACTACAGGCGTACACCACTACACCTGGCTAATTTTTTCTATTTTTTGTAGAGAACGGGGGGTTTTGCTCTTGCTCAGGCTGGTCTTGAATTCTTGGCTTCAAGCCATCCTCCTACCTCCGCCTCCCAAAGTGCTAGGATTATAGGCCTGAGCCACCATGCCCAGGCCAAATTCTTAGGATTAAGCAGGAAAAATGTAAATCTGACATTTTGTTCAAATTTCCAAATTTATTATGATATTCATAATCTCATACCACAGTAATAGAAACAGTCACGTATTATTCAGTATGAGTTCAGAATATATCTTCCAAATTTGCATTGAGATTTAATATAGATTTGTTTTATTAATTTGGCCTTTATAAAATTGGGAATAAATTTGAGATGCTCATTTTACTTAGCTTTTGGAAATTAGAAAGAAAGACCTGAAGACCTATGATAATATTTTCCTTTGAGCTTTGTATTTATCTTTTTCTAAATTAGATTAAGCACTTTTTGGGTACATTTTTTTCAAGGGTTCTTTTTCTGTTTCCTGAACTTGTCTTTAGTATCGATAGCATTTTCCTTTGAGAACAGTTTGTTGGTGAGACTTTTATTTCTACTTCACGGAAAATAAAAATTAATAAGAAAAACATACTTTCAGGTATCGTGGAAGAATATCAGCTTCCCTATCATGACCTCGTGCCCAGTGACCCCTCTTACGAGGACATGAGAGAGCTCGTGTGCATCAAGAAGTTACGTCCCTCGTTCCCCAACCGGTGGAGTAGCGACGAGGTAAGGGTTGAGGTAAACATATGGCTATGACTAACTGCTATCCAGACTTTTCTTCTGTTGCCAAAATTGTAAATATTCATTATAGGAATTCATCGTGGTGATGGTGCATCATTGCAATAATTTAGATGAAGATTAGTGTATTATACGTTTCCTTTTTTCCAATTTTATTTTGCCACTTCCAGAATATATCAAATGGGTCACTATTTAGCCTGTGTCACAGATTAACATGATTTCATTTATTTAAGACATCTCGACATTTTCATAAAGGCTCTTAGTTCTCCGTGTGTGTTTTTAAAGCACCATGATCTATCTCCATAACAAACCCATGGAGAGCTGTCTCCCATCTTGAAGGGAGAAAAAGTTAAGCCTCCGAAGTGAGTTTTCCATACACAGAAGTGACAAGAATCGACCTAGTGGAGACACCTGCCTGTGCTGTTCTTTGTTAATAGGGACGATGAGATGTGATCTGAGCAGATAGAGCTTCAGCTCGGCTCTGAGGACCTAGCGGTGAAACACACGCAGGTCTGGAAAGGCGTCGCTGGGAAGGAGGGAACGAGTAGGTCGGGACTTCCCTTTCCCGACTCCATCTCCTCCCACCCCACGCCCCCCTTCCCCCCTCTCAGCCCTCAGACTCCCCAGGTCCTGGACAGTTCTCTGGCAGGCTGGAACATTCAAGATGAGTTTGAAGCCCCCCCCAAGGGGAAAAAAAAAAGGCTCTTATCAAACCTGTGCCAAAGCCACTGCAAAGAAATGAACAGAACACTATTTATAAACTATCTCTTCAGTGTAAAATTCATTTAAAAGCGTCCTTTGGTTCTTGGGTTTTGCATCTAGTTGCTGAAATGCTGAATAATACGTACGTTTTCCAGCAAGCCGTGCAGAATGCTTTGTATTATTTTGAAAGCGGTTAGGGGCATCGCTGTAACTTGAAATCCCTTCCCTGAGGATTTCTAATGAGGTGAAATCGTGCTTTTCGATAGGAAGACCGATCATTGCTAGACCACGGGAGGACACAGGGCAAAGTTTCAGTGATGTCGTGCACACGTCATTAATCTCCCGAAATGGTACAGCGCGATGCTATGACGGTAGCAGACAGCTGTGAGTTAGGAATGATCATGTTTGTTTGAATCGTATGGAATTAGATGAGAGATTTAACGTTACCAAGTGTCGTAAACGATCTGGGAGTGTGGAGTGGAATACAGACTCCCCGGGGATTTCTTTGTTTGCTTAATACTGACTTCAAACACACCCGTCTGCAATCAGCTGCTTGCTCCTATAACGAGGAAGACATAGCAATCTGTTTTCATCATATACAGTTTTGCATGGAAAAAAAAATGGAAAACTAATGGAAATTTTTATTTCCACATCGTTTTAAGGGTACCTTTAAAAAATAACAGTCAAACTTCGTGAACCCCCAAATCAAAAAGCCAAATTGTGTCACGTGCGGGATGATGCGTGTCTCTGACATTACTCCAACTGTCCTTCGCCCCCTCCGCAGTGTCTGAGGCAGATGGGGAAGCTCATGACCGAGTGCTGGGCTCACAGCCCCGCGTCCAGGCTGACGGCCCTGCGCGTGAAGAAGACACTTGCCAAGATGTCAGAGTCGCAGGACATTAAGCTCTGACGGCAGAGAAAACGCGGGCATCTCTGCGCGCAGCCGGCAGATGCTCTTCTGTCTGTGGGCAGAGCGCAAGTCGTGAGCGGAGCATCCACGCGGTACAGCCCTTGAACATCGTCCTGTTTCCCAGTGGGTTCAGACCTCGCCTCTCAGGGACCACGCTGGACAGAGACAGCGACGTTCCCAGCAGCACAGAGCGATCCGTGTCTGTCTGTAGGAGGGAGAAACCGCCTGGGTAACTTGTTCAAGATACGATGCATGTTGCTTTCTAAGAAAGCCCTGTATTTTGGGATTGCCTTTTATTTTTATTTTTATTTTTTAAAAAGATGCTTTAATGTTGCCAAAATGAAACAAATAATGTGGATGTTTTAAGGTTTATACTATTACAGTTTAAATAATAACAACAAAAGTTGTTCCAGAAACTCCGCTGGAAGGTAAATTAAATTATGCGTTTTTCCATTGGCGAAACATGGTTGCACTCTACGAACCAAAAGTCAGTCTGTGAAGTTGGACTGGAACTCGCCTTCTTAATGACACGAGCCCCCAGCCCCACCCCACGCCCCGGCTTCCTCAGACCACTTCGGCCCACCCAGCAATGTGAATGCACCTGGGTACAACGCCACCTGTCCGGGACCACATTTTGGAACTCCTGCAGGTGGCCTTTTGTAGCTTCAGGCGACATGGAACAAACGAAGGTTTTATGTGACTCTATTAGTAGAGTGGTGATGGGTGTTCCTCAGAACCACTTGGCGTTTCTGGTTAGGTGTTTTTTTTTTTTTTCATGGTAAAATTCCTTCCTTTTCACTAAACACAAAGATGTCTTCATGTGCAGAGAATCGACCTCTGCATGCTTTTTTGATCTCTCCAATCAAAGCATCCATCTTAACTAAAATTGCCGTGAGTAGTGTTGAAGACAAAGTGCTTTTAAAGGAGAGATCATTTGCTCTTGTGTTATAAGAAGAACGTGTCGACAAGCGTAGGGGAGGAGGGTGAGGGGGCAGAGGTTTGTTTCTCATATATGCGAAGCAGCCAATCTCAAAAGCACAAGGGAGAAAAAGTACACAGACCTTATTTTATATAGATAAGGATAGTTTCTTTCTGTTACTCTTTTTTGTGTGTCAGAGTTAAAAGAGAGGAAGCATCCGTCAAGTTAATTTAACTAAAATTTTATTTTAAAAATAGATAAATGTAACCTACAGATGGGACAGCAGAGGAGAGTTAGTGGAGGCCACAAAATATCGTGGCTGCCGTGATTTATTATTCCAAAATACACAGGGATGGAGGATGTAGGTGTTCAGCGATCATTTCGCGCCTAAGGAACGCCGACTCGTTTTATTCTCATGATGTTCAATTCACTGTTTAATTTATTAATTTTCCTTTTCTGTAGCACTTGTGCAAAACATCTCTTTACCTACTTAGTTTCTGCAGTGTTCTAGCTACGGAGCGACACGGATACCATCATTGACAGGGCCGGTATTCCTCAGCAATAGAAATACGGTGACGTTTCAAATCCCACAAATGCCTCTCAGCTTGATCCATGTACATTTCCTTACTGTGGTTTTCTTTTGCTGCTTAGAAATTCTATGGCGGTCAGTAAAGAATTTGGAAGTACTTTCCCCATGACCTTAAAAAAAAAAAAAAAAAAAAGACATTCCTTCCAAAATCCTCCAGGGGGCAGTGTCTTATAGCGCATTTTCACCACTGGGGGATTGAAGGATGGAGGAGTTTTGAAAATTTGACAGCTGCATGAAAAATGAGAAAATACCGTCCTCGCTTCTGAAGTGGGCTCGCAGCTGGTGACTTGTTCATCCAGAAAACATCCCAGAGCTGTGAGTGTGTGTGTGCTCTGCTGACAGTTTGGGAGAATTATTAAGGAGACACACAGCATTCTGTATTTTGCATTCACTCCCCGATGCTTCGTAGCCACGTAAGCCATAAGGAAGAATTTCTCAATCCTTGAATTTGAAACATTTTTGTTTTTTTCTTAAAGAGTAAAACAGTTGGTTCTAAATATAATTGTGATCGGAATGCTGCTTTTATTGATATTAAAATAACCTCAATAGCGATGTCCATGTCCCTTTCTCTTGTATCAAATTCTATTGTCTGTGATAGCTTAGAAGTTAACATGTGGTTAGAACTTCAATCATCTGAGCCTTGTAGAGAAACTTCAGTGCCTAGAAACAGATCCTTATTTGCAAACAAATAAGTAAACATTTATGCCAGTTAAGTGGGGACACGTTTGTGTTTCTTGAGTTTTTTTCCTAAATTTAAGTGAGGTTGGGTTTACCTCTTAGCTAAAATTGTGTTTTCTTTTTGGTAAATACTTGAACTTCAAATCAGAATATTTTGTGCAGAGGTGATGATTTAAAAGTAAACTAGATTTCTAAGTTGTTGTTGGTTCCAATGTATAATGGGAGGAAATTAAAATAGTATTCATACTTCTTCTGTAGTATTTGGTTGCTTTGGAAAAAATCGGTAGCTTACTTTCTAATCCCCTGACCTGACTTATTCACTATGAATATTTTAAAAGTATTTCTGAGATACTTAATAAGACCCATTTAGCTATTATAGTTTCTCAATGAGATAAGAATTTAATTAGGAGTAGATTTTTCTCTATATTTTACCAAAATCCACTTTACTTAGATAATACTAAATTGTTCTTAAAGACTACCTACTCATTTCCCAATAATCCTTTATCATTTTAAAATTTCTAGCAGCTCAGAGGTGAATTTTGTTTTATTTTTATGTTTTGTCTTTCACTCAAGTGAGAACCTGGAAATTAATCATGTAATTGATAGCTACTTTCAGGACTCTGTCAAAGACTAAGATTTTCTTCTAACCCCTCCCCTGCAAAGGAATCCTAAATTATTAGTTGTTAGATAAGTTTTGTATGTTGAGATGTTCAGGTTTATAGTTTATATGTGTATATATTATATAAATATATATGTATATATAAACATTATGTTCAGTTTGGAGTCTGGGTCAACTCCATTATGTGGATTAGAGAGTAAAATATCATGGATGATAAAAGTACTAAGTGAAACATAATATTTATTTATAAAAGTGTGTAGACTGTTAAATTACAAGTAAAGTGCTATGAACATTACGTACGAGGAAGACAGGCCTTTGATCTCCTGGAAAGCACCGCTCAAAAGTCACTAGTGACAATTTTTGAATTCCCCAAACAGAAAGCTTCTTAGAGAACACGCTGAGATTTTTATTTACGAGGCATTCTCTGACACATTTCAATTGGTGTGTAATCAAGTATAGCAAGTACTCCATACTGACCGAATTTCATGTTCCTGGAGTCATGCATATTCATCAGGAGTCTTACGTTGTTGGTCTGTTCTGGTTTTCCTTGTTTGTGGGTGGAAAGGCACTGAGAGAAGTATAATTTTTTAAACTTGAACGTGTTGAGTAGTTACATCTCCTTAGAAAAACTGAGTCACGTCGCAGTGGAAATGAAATAAATGGCATCAGGAGTGATTTAGTTTAGCAGTTATGATTCCTCTTGTAAAACAAAATGAAAAAAAAAAACCCACAATGCTGTATTTTCTGGAGAAAAGTTGGCAATCTATAGGGGTTTTGTTGTCTGTTTCAAAAGAAGAGTCATTTGTGTGATTTCGGGGAGCCAGTGCCTTACGGAATTTGTATATACTGTAATTATTCAGGACTAGGGAACAAACAATTGTATTTGTTACAAATTGTATATGGCTTTGTTTTAACATTCCCCTAAATAAAATGGTTTCATTCTCCCCTTGGGAAAAACACGACTGTTATTTTATAGTTGTGCCTATTTTTTTTTTTTTTTTGTCTTTGAAAGTTTCTCATTGTCACAGGAGGGAAGGTACCCGACGAAGGCAGACGCAGGTAAGTTTGGACGTTTTGTGGCAGGAGAGGGCATTTTGGTGGCAGTGGGCCGACGGCTTCTATTTTCTCTGTAATTAGGAAGCACGGTCGTCTGCGGAGAGCGAGGGGAAGGGGGGGCAGGGGTCGGTGTCGGAGGGAGGTGAAGGTTTGCGATTGCACGGTGACAAATCACAGCTTGCTGGGGAGAGGCAGCCAGGTGGTGACGGGCCGCACCCGGGGCCGGGTTAGGCTGCGGATGCTAACGGTGGCTGGCGGCCCGCGTGCGTCCAGCCTCGCTCGCTCCCTCAGTCGTGTGAGCAACAAGCTTCAACCTTTAACTCAGTTTCTTCTCCTTTAAGGTAAGAATAATAGTAATATCTACTGCATAGAATTGCTCTGAAGACGGCGTCATCCACGCACGAAGCATGCGGTAAGCACTCAGCTATTCCCGTCAACTATTATTACAAATGCAGAGGGCCACTGTTCTGTGTGATTTGCGACTTTATTTGTCTGTCATCAACAGCTGGATTCATGCAGGGTTGAGGTTGACCACGCACACGCAGCACCAGGTCTTGGATCATAAGAATCATGGTCACCAAGGGGCTGGTTGCCCCGGGCCCGAGTAGGGAGGGAACGAAGTCGAGGTGGCAGCTCATAGGCCGGGTAAACCTGGTCTAGGGACAAGGAGCCCTGAGGGGGTCGAGAGGCTGGGGACAGGCCGGGGGTGTGACCACAACACGGCGTGAGTACAGCTAGTGGGCAGGATCCTTGGCAATGAAAGAGGAACCCAGAAGCCAGGCCTTTGGATTTGGGGTGCTGGGGTGTGGACGGACGAGGCTCTTGCTGCTGCCTCTGCTGGGGGAGTAGAAACCCCCCTGCCAGGCAAGGAAGATGGAAAGTGATAGCGTAGTTTTTCCACGGATTGTGAGCCCTGGAGGGCAGGGCGAGAAGTTTGGTTTGGATCCATTGGAGATAAGATCAGGACCAAGGAAGCCCAGAACCGTCTGGGTTTGCACCTTAGGGACAGAAAGGTTTGCGTGTGGCTGGGGCTGGCCTGGCCGTGTTTAGTTAGTGGGTGGCCCTTGGGGGCAGATGCGTCCCAGTGCCAGGATGCAGCTTGACCCAGCTCAGGTCCCCACGGCCCTCATTTTTCAGTTCTTTAGAAGGACAGCATCTCTGAGCCCTAATCTTCTCCCCTGCAAATTGGGATAAAAACACCCACCTGGCAGGGCTCTTGCGAGGGGCAGATGAGATGAGTATGTGAAGCCAGGCGCGTGGCAGGTGCTTGTGAATACGGCTTTATCTTACTGATGTCGCTTTCACAGGCTGCACAACAAGCGACGTTTAAAACCGGCCGAGCTTTGCTCTCGGTCCACCTCTCCTAGCCTCTCTGCACCCCACCCTTGTGTGCTGTGGGCTCAAGCCAAGCTTTTCTCGGGAGTCAAAGGCAACTGGAAAGTAAGCCCAGCTGAGGAAAGCAGTTTCTTCTTCTCACATCCATCATTTCGTAAATTG